ATTCAAATGGGAGGCCATAAGGGACATGATCTATATCAGAGCCAGAGTTTGGGATGGCTTGAGTTAGGAAGAAGTCCAGTGCCTCTGTGATGAGGCATCAGCACATCAAGGACTGTGGATGGCAGTGTCACCTTGGCTCAATGTCATGGAGAGCCTTTGACATGCTAACATCTAGTGACAGAAACATGGGATTCAGCCACTCTAGGCCCCCAGCAGTGTACATGATCACAACACCCCACTAACTGGCAAAAACCCCTTCTCACTGAAGGCCCATTCACTGCGTCTTCCTTCCCACCATGTCTGCCTCCAAGACTGTGGAAATGGTTCCCTACTCATCAGGAGCATGCATAGATGGCTGGCGGAATCAGAAAATGGAAGTAACTCATAGCTCTGATCAGTCTCTTTGGCTAATCTTGGCATAGTCCAAAGTTTTAATTTTGAATTACAGGAATAGCAATTTGTTTTAAAAATGGCCTGTGTCTAGGGTTTACCAAAATATATGTGGGTGTGAAGTTTGGAGCATATGGCAATTATTGAACTAGTTGAACAATTAGGAACCCTAAAAAATGCAAGAATAACAAAGCAAACTTTAAAAGAGGAAATATTTTTAAAAACAATATTTCCTCTGCCAATATTATCAAATATTTAATTAAAATCATGATGTGGAAAATGTGACAGATCATATCATATGTTTGCCTGGTTTTGACTTGCTTTGTGAGGTCTCAATGCATCTTTAACTATGAAGTATTACTGATGCCTCCATTATTATGTCTTTATAACTCCACCACAAACCTGCATCCCAAATATACAAGAAGGCACTTTTCCTCAGCAGTTCCAGAACATTTTAGCATTATGATGAAAAAAAAAAAGTAAGAAACATTTTCAAATAGTCTACAGCAGAGAAAAATGTCAAGCGCACTCAACCTCCTTTTCCAATTTTTCTCCCAAATTTACCAGAAAATGTCAACTCTGAGATGAAATATGACAGGAGAATTTAGGGAGATTTTCTTTTTTGCTTATGGCTATGACATGGAGCTTCAAGTTACGTTAGGCTCTAAAGCACAAGTGGAAAGACCCTCAAAGTGATGGAAAACATATGTAAAAGACTTCTGAGTTAGTATGATCTATTTTAAAGAAACTGATATATCTTGCAGCATGTATAATTGTGTTATTATTTATTACCAATGTGCTTGGTGCTGCACAACATACAAAAACAGAGACATTCCCAGCCCCCAAAATCTCACAGCTGATGTACAGCAAAGCATAGTATAGCTAACTTCAAAGATACTATTCCCGAATCTTTATGGTTCTCAGTTGTGGAAAAATCTTAATAAGGTTGTAAATTTGTGGTCAGCAGAAGATTTTACCTTTTTTTAATCAGGCTCCTAAATAGGTGGTCAAGTTTTCAGAAATGCTTAGTACTCATTACTGCATGCTTAGTACTCATGGATCTGCAAATGCTTAGTAGCTCCCACTGCAGATCCATGGAGGCAATATTCCACTTCAATGTATTTCCAAACTGAACGCTGCAGCTTATGTCTACTAGTGATTTTATTTTCCAAATCATAAGCAAAAAGCATAATATCCCTGGTGCAGTGAAATGGCTGCATTTTCCCCTTTATTGTACACAGAATTTGTTTCATAAAAATTAATCCGTTTGATTTATAACAACCTATCTGATATGCTGTTCCTTTACAAATTTGTTATTAACTTTAGTTAACTCCTCCACAAATTCACTAAGAACATGGTAGCAAACCAGCATGCCATACAAAATTACTTAAACATTATGTAAACCAACAACACCTAATAAATCAAATGTCAACTCCTTTAATCCACTTGATCATTTCCTTTTTCTGTCATGGTGGGCTATCCATAAAAAATGTATGTATGGACATAAAAGATTTAGCAGAGATGTGAAGCCCCAGAAGACAAAATGCCTCTTTTTCCTGGCATAACCAAAGTGAAAACTACTTTCTCCATATTTATTTACGTAGAAGCTTTTGAAAAATGTTCCATTTTCCTCACTATATTCCCTCACCTAGATTAGTTATTGGGTTTAGGTGGGCTGCACAACTCCTTTCTGTACCAAAACCTTCTTTATTCTGCTATGTCTATACAGCTCCCTATGTGGACACTTTATTCTGAAAAACAAATCTATTGTGGAGTAATTATTCTAGAAGTCAGTCACATTTTCTCCTAAACACAGTGTACTCACAAAGAAATTATATTTGCATAACTATAGCAGAATAATTGCTCCATTATAGCTATGCCAGTCAATTTGCCCATAGAGATAAGCTCTTGGGGTATGTCTACACTACAACGTTAATTCGAACTTAGTTTGAATTAGTTAATTCGAACTAAGATAATTCGAACTAACGGATCCAGACTAAAAAACTAGTTCGAATTAGCGTTTTGCTAATTCGAACTAGCATGTCCACATTAAGTGGACCCTGAACTAGGGTTAAGGATGGCCAGAAGCAGTGCGGGCAGGACATCAGAGGAGGACTTAGAGCGTGAAGATGCTGTCTCAGGCTAGCCGAGGGCTGTGCTTAAAGGGTCCCGACCCGCACCCCGGACGGACAGTTCTCAGGGGTGCCCCGCTTGCAAAGCAGTCCTGGCTTGCATTGCCCGGACTACCCACACTGGGCACATCACACCACTCGGCCATCAGACCGACTGCACTTGCCACAGGCTGCCATCTGGGGAGAGGGGGCAATTTGGGGGGCTGCAGGAGAGCTTCCATCCCAGAAGCCCGCAGAGCCAGCCCAGTCCTCCCCATCGGGGGCTCGTACCCCATTCCTCCCTCACCTCCTTCCACTTACCCTTCCCTAGCCCCCCTTCCTGATGTAGAAAATAAAGAAAAAGTGTGGTCAAAAATAGAATCTGTCTTTATTGAACAAAACTGGGGGAGACTGGGAAAAGGAGGTGGGAGAGGGGAAGAGAGAGGGTGGGAGAGGGGAGGGCAACTACAATGATCAGAGGTTTGGAACAGGTCCCATATAAAGAGAGGCTAAAGAGACTGGGACTTCTCAGCTTAGAAAAGAGGACACTAAGGGGGGATAGGATAGAAGTCCATAAAAGCATGAGTGGGGTGGAGAGGGTGCATTAAGAAAAGTTCTCCATTAGTCCCCATAATAGAAGGACTAGAGGACACCAAAGGAAAAGAATGGGTAGCAGGCTTCAAACTACTAACAGAAAGGTGCTCTTCACAAAGCAAAGATTCAACCTGTGGAGCTCCTTGCTGCAGGAGGTTGTGACGGCTAGAACTTAGAACAGAGTTTAAAGAGAAGTGAGATAAAGTGATGGAGGTTGGGTCCATGGAGTCCTATTAGCCAGAGGGTAGGAGTGGTGTCCCTGCCCAAAGTTTGTGGAAGGCTGGAGAGGGATGGCACGAGACAAATGGCTTGGTCACTGTCTTCGGTCCATCCCCTCCAGGGTCCCTAGGGTTGGCCGCTGTTGGCAGACAGGCTACTGGGCTAGATGGACCTTTGGTATGACCCAATACGCCCATTGTAAGCTCAGGGCTCAGGGTTGGGGGTCTCAGTGGACCACCTTCATTTTCATGCACACCTGCTCCTAGGTGGCCAGGCTGGCAGCTCTCCTGCCCTAGACGGACACTTTCCTGTGCCTAGTGCGGAGGTCGTGGACGAGGTCCATGATGTCCGCACTAAACCAGGCGGGTGCGGTCCTGGGCAGGCTCCCGAGAGCCGCCAGCAGGTGCAGGGTCTGCTGGCTGGGTGCTGGCAGGCTTGCACCTGGCACGGGCACTGTAGCCAGCCTGTGCCCCTTTAAGGAGTCCGGGGCTGGGAGGGGGGCAGATGAGTTTCCCTGGTGTTGGCCAGAGTGGCCACCAGGGAAACCTGGGGAGGGGTAGCCTCCCACTAGTTCGAATTAAGGGGCTACACACCCCTTAATTCGAACTAGCTAGTTCGAACTAGGCTTAATCCTCGTAAAATGAGGTTTTCCTAGTTCGAACTAAGCGCTCCGCTAGTTCGATTTAAATTCGAACTAGCGGAGCACTAGTGTAGCGCCTATTAAAGTTAATTCGAACTAACGTCTGTTAGTTCGAATTAACTTTGTAGTGTAGACATACCCTTGGTTACTAACTTCTGCTTTATTCTCTTTGTACCATCAGGACTGTATATAAAGCAGATATGACCAGTTTAGGCAACACACTTTTAAAAGGAACATTGTCAACTTAAAAAAAACAATGAAAATTCTTAAGTTATTGTTGCAAATAACACTTAGATTTATTATAATTAAAAAATTTAAGAAAGTATTGTATTTTGTGTGTGTATATATATTGACAGCATTTCTGTAGTCAGGCCTCAATCCTGCAAGCCTTTATACACATGCTTAATTTTAAGCTTATTAGTAGTCTGAGTAAAGTATGTGCACATGTCTTTGTAGAAGGAGGGCACATCTTCACTCTCCGCTCTGGAGATCAATCATCTGGCGTTCAATTTTGTGGGTCTAGATAAGACCCGTAAATCAAATGCTGAGGGCAAGTTCAGCCAGCACCTGTATTTCTCACAGTTGCAAGGAGTAAGGGAATCTGATGACAGTGTTTGCTCCCATTGGCCTTCCCCTGTAAAGATGGCGCCAAGCTCGGCTTAAGATAAACCAACTCCCACTATGTTTTTTACATAGCTGGAGTTGCATACGTTAAGCCGACCTTCCAGGTCTAACGTAGACCTGGCCTGAGAGTCTGAATCATTCAATTAGCCATTCTGTTGAGTTTTTCATTTGATAACAGGAGTAAGGATTTTTTAAGTGATGGTAAAATCATAAGACTGGGCAGGAGAACTTAGAACAGGTACAGTAGATGAAACTATTTTAATTCATTCCTTGAAACTATGTTTCATGTTGACAATATTTCACTTTATTTTCAAAATACATTAAAAAATCCCAAATGCAAAAAAACTAAATATTTAATAGAAACATAATAGACTGTAGAGTTATTCATATGAAAATGAAGTAGTATAACTAGAAAAAATTACCTTTAGCTTTTGAAGCAAGTGTTCGGTTTCAGAAGTAATGCGGGGCTGGATATAAGTGGCTTTTTTAGTCTGCCCACGCGTGATGATGGAAAGTTAAGGTCAAAAAATTATTTTAAATGAATTACATAAAGCGCAGAAAACTTTTTCTTCAATGAAAATCATAATACTAAACAGCTAAAATGGTTTTACTTAACGTGTGTGATCTTAACGTATTTCCAAGAGAAGTTTTTCTTGGGGATATTTATCACATTTTTTTAGCAAGGTATATTAAAGGATATAGAAAATTGGCTTCTAGTTCAAGGAAGTAGATTTGTTGCTGCAGATTCTTGATGTATTCAGATTCTAAACTTGAAGTTGTATTCTCCATTGCTAGAAAAGATTAATTCAGAACTATATGTACATTTTAATTTACTGATAATAGTGCACAGCACACTGTAATGCACATTTTATAAAGGAGGTTCAGTTCCTATTTTTGTGTAGTAGTAACAGTTCTAAAAATAAGATGACTTCCAATTCAAATACCAGGAAAAACCTTATTTAAGGAAAACATCCAAGGACCAATCCCTGCTTTTTTTCTGAAGAATTTATGCCTATTATGTAGAACTTATAAGCAATGCAAACTAGGGATATAAAATCCTGTGTAATTGGTTAACCAATTAAAGAGGGGCAGGCGGAGTGGATGCTCCAGCCTGGTTTGGCCATAGCAGGGCTGCAGTGCGCCGCGCCCAGCCCCTCCCCCCCAGACAGGGGCTGTTCCGACTGGGTGGAGCAGGCTGCCTGCAGCAAGCCCAGGCCAGGCTCACCGTGGATAGGGTGTGCTCTGGCTGACTAGAGTGCCCCTGCCTGCAGTGCACTCAGGCTGGGCCTGCAGGGGCTGGAGCAACACTCTACCCACAGCAGGTGGGGAGCTGCTCTGACCGCCACTAGTTAATTGGAACAGTAAGCCTCTCCTGTTAAGGGTGAGACTTACCAGTTAACTGGTTATCCATTCACATCTCTAATGCACACAGAATTACAAGATTCTGCTTCTCAACAATTAACTAGGGTTTAAAGATGAACACATCCCCTAATATGGTCAATATTTAACATACACACAGGTGCATGCTCCCTACAAGGGGTACCAGTGACAATGGGCTCTTCTTTCCATCCTTCTCAAACCTTCTATTAGTTAAAGTATTTTCCCAATGAACTGACATTTTCAGCTCTCTTTTGCCATGGGATCATAGAAATAATAGGGCTCACAAAAGGTCATTTAGAGAAGTCCCTTACACTCAGGGCAGGACTTATTATCTACACAATCCTGAGAGATGTGTGTTTAACCTGCTGTTAAAATCCCCCAATGACAGTAACTCCAAAATCTCCCTTGACAATTTATTCCAGTTTAACTACCCTGACAATTTGAATTTTTTCCTAACATCCAACCTAAACTTCTGTTGCTGTAAGTTAAGACTATGATTGTTTCTTGTTCTGTCCTCAGAAGTTAAATTTTTTTTCTCCTTCCTCCTTTTAACTTCTTGGCTGTGTCTACACTGGGCCACTTATTCCGGAAAATCAGCCGCTTTTCCGGAATAAGCTGCGAGCTGTCTACACTGGCCCTTGAATTTCCGGAAAAGCAAAGATGCTCTATTGTACAAAATCAGCCGCTATTCCGGAAAAACTATTCTGCTCCCGCTCGGGCATAAGTCCTTATTCCGGAACACTGTTCCGGAAAAGGGCCAGTGTAGACAGCCCAGTAGTCTTTTCCGGAAAAAAGCCCCGATCGCGAAAATGGCGATTGGGGCTCTTTTCCGGAAAAGCGCGTCTACATTGTCCACAGGGGCTTTTCCGGAAAAAGGGCTTTTCCGGAAAAGCAGCCTGCCAATGTAGACGCTCCTTTTCCGGAAAAACTGAAAACGGAATAGTATTCCGTTTTAAGCATTTCCGGAAATTCATGCCAGTGTAGACACAGCCCTTATGTACTTGAAACCGGATAGCTTTCCTCCTCCCCATTCCCAATCTTCTCTTCTCCAGATAAAATAACCCCATTTTTTCCAATCTTTCCTCATAGGTAATATTTTCTAGACTTTTAATCATTTCTGTTGCTCTCCTCTGGACTTTTTCCAATTTGCCCACATCTTTCCTGAAATGTGACATGCAGAACTGGACAGCTCCATGGTCCATCTCTTAACAGCACAGAATAGATGGATAAATTACTTCTTGTGTCTTGTTTACAATCTCCTGGTAATACATCCCAGAATGATGTTTGCTGGCTTTTTTAAAACAAGTGGTTACACTGTTGACTCTTATTTAGTTTGAGCCACAGATTCTTTTCTGCACTAATTATTCCTAGGTAGTCAGTATCATGTGTGTGCAATTGATTGTTCCTTCCTAAACTGAGATTCTCTCATTTGTTCTAATTTAATTTCATGTTATTTCCTTCAGACCATTTCTCCAGCTCTTCCAGATCATGTTGAATTTTAATGCTGTTCTCCAAAGTACTTGCAACCCATTTCAGTCCTCTCATTATTTCTTGTTTCATCCTGGAAAAAACCCCAAACCAACAACCGACCACATACACCCTCTCAAAATTCCTTGTCCTTACTTAAAGGCACTATATACATTACAAACCATACCTATCGTTTTGTCCTTATTTATCCTACCCCAAATCATTGTTCCTTCCAGTTCTTCCTCCCTCTTCGTTCATACATATTCAGGGCTGCCAGCAGAATTGCCAGGTTTGTGGGCAAGGTGAAGGGCAGGACCCAGCCCTGCACCTCTAGGAGAGGTGGGGCCTTGGGCAGAATGGTCAGGGGTGGGGTTAGCCTTCCTGAGCTAACCCTTCAGTACTGCCCAGGGCTCCAACAGGGATTTCAAGGGCTCAGGGCTTCAGCCACTGCAGCAGTAGTAGCAGCGGGGGAGGAGGGCAGGCCAGGGCACTCTAAATCTCCAGGCCTGGGGGCAGCTCTCCCATGCTTTTCTCTCCCTCTCAAATTCCATAACTCACTCTCTGCCATATTCCTTCATAAAACCCAAAGGAATGCTTCCTCCTTATAGCCTCCCTTACCTGAAATCATGCCACATTTGTCTGTCCATCTTGCCTACCTAAAGACAAAGAACCTTGAGTCTTGGACCATACCTTAATCTGTTTGTAAAAGCACCATACCGTATTATATACATTATTTTATGAATAATAAATGCTCACATAGTATCTAATTCCAAAACAAGAAGAAAATAGAGGTGTTCTTATGCATGTTCTTGAAAGTACAAACATACTTTCAGACAAGGTCAGACAAAATAGGCACATGTTTAGTCAAATTTAATACAATATTCAACTTCTAGCATTTAGATCAAATAATCAGCGTGTAAAACTGAATATGCAATTATACTAAAAAAAACTCAGATGCCTTTTGTTGGATGCATATTTAGCCACTTGTGGTCAGTTTATTTTTCCCATTTTTAACCCTTCCTATAGTGCAATGATGATCATCAGTATAAACAGATTCAGGAACCATGCAACAGAACCTTACCTTTAATGGCAATAGAAAATTCAATACTTATAAAAATAAATACTTTCCCCAACTATGTGTAATTAGACTGTCATACTATCAAACAGAGACCAATAACTTAGCAAGAATCATAAAGTTACAGGCAGTCCCCGAGTTATGCGGATCCAACTTATGTCGGATCCGCAGTTACGAACGGGGCTTTTCTCGCCCCGGAGGACGGGAGCGGCGGGATGCCCAGATGCGCCGCAGTCTGCCGCCCCCATCCTCCGGGGTGAGAAAAGCCGCTCCCCGTCTCCTTGGTCTGCAGGGAGACGGGGAGCAAAGCCTTGGAGCACGCCCACAGCGGGACAGCCCGGGCGCGCTTGAGCTGTCCCCCTGAGGGCGTGCTCCGCAGCTTTGCTCCCCGTCTCCCTGGCTTGGAGCTCCGCAGCGGGACAGCCCGGGCGCGCTTGGGCTGTCCCGCTGCGGGCGTGCTCCAAGGCTTTGCTCCCCGTCTCCCTGGTCTGGGAGTTGCACTGCTATTGTAGTGTGCTGATATCTAGAAGTTAAACTAATGTTTATAATTTTAATTCCTAATATTAATTATGAAGAAATCTAAACTTTAGAATTTTATCCAGTAAGAAGGCAATTGTGATAAATTTTCTGGGCGGTACCTCACACCTCCCCTGTACCCCCTTCACACCTCCCCGATTAAGAACCCCTGCCTTAGAAACATCATACCAGAAGAGATGGAGCTGATCTGGCAATTCTTATGTTCCTACTGTTTTTAATGATTCCACAGATTGTAATGCACATCTGCCATGACTCCCAGTAATATTAAGGACTAGTTGACTATCCAATAAGCATTTGCTTATCGGATAGTCGAGTCATGGTACAGGCTCCATGTGGCGCTGCTGCTTTGAAACACTGCATGGAGCCTGGAGTGAGAGGGACTTCCTGCTGGCCCAGGGCTGCACATGGAGTTCCAACTTGGAAATGCACAAGAGCCTCTGCTGAGGCTCTTGTACATTTCAAAGGAGGAATAAGGACGTGCCTATCATCTAGTTGAGTAGCTGATGGAATTTCCATCAAATACTCAACTAGTAAATTAATAGATATTTAACATCCTTAGGATGAAACACTGCCTGGTTAGACATTAAAATTTTCAATTAAAGAAAAAGCAACCATAGTGTTGTATCATGATATAAGAAAACCTTTGCCAAATTATTTCAATATAGTTGTTTCATAGCATGATAACATGAAATTGCTTTATCTACAAGAAAATAGCAACATTATTTTTAGTAAAGAAACTTTTGGAGTAACATTTTGCCAATCCTACTCAATTAGCTAATTGGCTATGCATAGAATTGCAACTTTAGCACTCTGGTTTCAAGAGACCAGTGGGTGATAGTATGAAGAAGTGTTTCTAAAATTCAATTTAAGGATACATTTGGTGACTGACCATTGTGTGAAAAAGGAAATTTTTTTTTCTTTAGCACTTTATACCTTTTACCCTTTTACATCTAAAGATGGCACCAACAAATTATACAAAAATGTTAATCTAATTCATACATTCTGGACTTATAAAACTCCTCATGAAACTGCTGAATTTTATGAGTCAATTCAGAATACGCAAGAGTTTAAAAAAGGCACAGCTTACCTAAACTTCTATGATTGATGTGTGATTTTTAGAAGCACAATAGCCAATGCTATGTACTTATAAAGGTTAGTAAGGAATCTGAAGGAAAGGCAACAGCAGATTTATTTGAAAATCCAAAACAATTGAAGGCCTTATTGGAAAGCTGTACTGAATTTAAAGCTTGTTTACTTTGGCCAAGAGGTGCCACCTGAGCAATTTATTGCTAGCTCAGGCTGGTGCCTCACCTCATAAAAACCAGATGCAATGATGAAGGCAGCTTTTTAAAAAACTAGGTTTAATGCACAGAAACGAAGCCATTAGGCAGCGGAAAGTGTAAGATTCCTTTTCTGCTTGGAAAAAAACAAACAAACAACCACCTCCCGCAGTGAAGCAAGAGGCTGTTGTAGGAGGCTGCCTGTGCATGCTGGGGACACGGCAGTTCCGTAAAACCAGCGCTGCCCCCGGAGCCGGTCGATGGCG